CCGGCCTGTTTGGTGTGCCCGGGCCACCCGCTATTCCTCTGGGACCCTCCCCGAGCTTGGCGAGGCCCCGGGCCAGAGACCGCACGCCGGCTGGCGGCCGCGCCTTCCCAACCAAAGCCGCCCCCCATGCCGCATCTTGTCTAGCGCCGTACGAACACCAGAATGGTTTTGCACGTGCCTTTCGCTTCTTTTGTATGAGGGGCTTCGCCGCGGCCCAGCAAAAAAAACCCGGGGGTCCGCGGGCGCGGCGGAAAACACACCGCCCGAATGCGGGTGCCGCGGGGCAAGGCGTTGGTGAAAACATCGCTCCTCTTCCGCGCCCAAGCGCAACGTCGCCAAAAAGAAGTAGCAAATCCTTAGTCTCAGGGCTGGGCGCTTCTTTGGTGCCGCCGCCGGGGTGGGGTGGTTAGCGGTGCGGGGGTTTGCCCTGCTTCATCCGATGCAAGCAGGGCGGCGGGAAAATGGGGGGCAACGCCGAAAGTAGGGCCAAGCACCCGCGCGCCGTCAAACTTGAGCCAAGAGAGAGTGCGAGGAACAACCCCAGGGGAGTCACCGCCCCAAAGAGCGGACCCCTCTCGGTGAAACAGCGAAGCCGGATGACGGGGAACAGCGCACGGTACGTTGAAACTGTGTAGCGCATATCGACTCGCTGAAGTTTTACTACTGGCATTTCCATGAAGGGAGCGTGGTGCGGCCACTGAGAAAACGCAGGTTGTCCAAGAATGACGGCGTTCCGTAGGATCGCATATTGCTGTTTTTTTGATGCCCAAAGTGCGGGTTTAAGCGCCGCGACAAAGACGGATTTACCCACCAACGCGCGGTTCGCCACGGATACCGGCCGAAACCCGTGAGATCAGCCGTTTTGCGTAGTCCAACGTCTTCTCTTTTCTTCTTGATTGGTGCGGCAGTCTCTTGGAGTGTGTAGCCGCGTGGGGGCAGAAGTCGTTATGGTTTTTGCTATGGCGGAAGTCGTTGTACACTCGGCCCCTTGCTCTCCTCTCTTTGTGCCTGTGTGTATTTAGATGCCCGTGAGCTGCAGCGGGGAGTACTGCGGAGTAAATGACGATGATGTGGGCGCGGGCAGCACCAACCTTTTGTTGCCTTGTTTTTTTTCTTTTTTCCCATTCACTTCTCTTTTGTCTACACACAGAGAAGGAGAGAAACTAAGTGACACTTGCTGCTGTGCACATTGGAAGCCTCTGAAGTCACCACCAGCAACACACACACACACCGACCAGACACGCATATATAATATATACGCTCGAATGTTGCTGCCGCCAAGTTTAGCCACACCCACACAACCATCGCGGTCTGAGCGGATCCAGCACACGGAGGGAAGAGAGACAGAAAGTGGTCAGCGACCGCTCAAAATGTCGCGGTATTTGTTTTCCTCTGCGGCGCTGCTGCTTTTCTTCGCGCTGATATGCTGTAGCAGCTGGGCCGTGCTCGCCGAGGCGAACGTGGGCAGCTCGATCTCAGGAACAGCAGGAGGCTCTCATGGGACGGCGCCAGCTGCGTCTCTGAGGTCATCTTTCATCTGAATCACCGTTCCGTCCGTTGTTGAGGTGAATGGTGAGGTGGTCGTCATCGCGCAAGCCAACGACGAGAATGATAATAAAGCGCTCCTGGTAGAGCTCGTTAAATCGGTTGGATCGCGTGCGCTCTGGGCACTCCCCAACTCCGATGGGAAGAACTCAGTGGTGCAAGATATCGTCAAGATGCCGAGTGACGTGGTGGAGGCGGAGTTTTACAACCCCACGCCAGTTGTGAAGGGCAGTAAGATCTATCTTCGTTTCCAGTGTGAGGGGAATTCTGCGGGGGATGGGGAAGATGCCGTTCCGATGTGCCCCTGGCTCTTTGTTGGAAAAATTGAGGAAAAGAAGAAAGGCCAGGAAAAGAAGACCATCAGTTGGGAGGCTCGCACCGTTAAGTCTGGGCTCAGTCCAACGCTGGAGGAGAAATCGTTTTAGTTTTTTTTTCTTGGCGGTGGCGCGGGAATTGTGACGAAGAACGGTACACTTGTATTTCCCGCAAAGGCAATGACGAAGAGGAACAAAGAGGTCTCGCTGATCATGTACTCCAGTGACGCGGAGAATGGTTGGAGGCTGTCGCAGGGGATGACAGCCTAGGGCTGCGTGGATCCTGCCGTTGTGGAGTGGGGGAGCGGGATACTTTTGATGATGACTACATGTGAGGAGGGCCACCGCAAGGTGTACGAGTCGAGCGATATGGGGAAGACGTGGGCGGAGGCGCTCGGGACACTCTCGCGCGTGTGGGACAACGCACTTGAGCGTGACGGATCTGGCGGTCAAAGTGGCTTCATCACCGCGACGATTGAAGAAAGGAACGTGATGCTCCTCACCCTGCCGGTGACTTTGAAAGACAACTTAACCGATAAACTACATCTTTGGCTCACTGACGCCGCCCACATTGTGGATGTTGGACCGATATCCAACGCAAATGAGCATGCGGTCGGCAGTGCCCTACTGTTTAGGGGCAAGGAGGAGTTGATCTCCTTGCAGGAGCTGCGTTCAGTGGGAGTGAGTGGTGGTGTGGGGATGTCTGAGGGCCTTCACCTTGCGCACCTGACGGAGCAGCCGGAGAAGATAAAGAAAGTGGTGCAAACATGTAAAGAGGTGGATGAACGTGTCAAGCAGTTGTGCCTTCCAACGGAGGCTGATGCAGCTGCCTCTCCTGGCGCGGGCTGCAGCAAAGCGGTGCCCACTGAAGGGCTGGTTGGGTATTTGGCTGGCTCTTTTGCAGAGGGCCAATGGAAGGACGAGTACCTCGGGGTGAACGCCACTGTAACGAGTGGAGAACTGGCAAGCACAGAGGGGACTGTCAATGGGGGCGTGAGGTTCAAAGGGCGTGGCTCATGGGCTGAGTGGCCGGTGAGCAAACAGGGGCAGAATCAGCGGTACCACTTTGCGAACTACAACTTCACTCTTATGGCGACAGTGACGATCCACGCGGTGCCGGAGGCGGCCAACAGCCCAATTCCTCTGTTGGGTGTGAGGATGAATGACAGCACTGTGCTTTTGGGCCTGTCGTACACGAAGGACATGCAGTGGAGTGTGCTTTGCAAGGGCGGAGAGGGAGGCGATCGCACCAGCACGTGGGAGCCAAATAAAAAATACCACGTGACGATCGTGCGGGAGGGCGACAGCCAGGGCTCCGTGTACGTTAACGGCCAGCGTGTGGGGAGTTCACAAGCGGCACTGCAGTGCGAAACGAAGCCGTGCACGATCTTACACTTCTACATTGGTGGGGACGGCGGCGTCACAGAAGGGACAGCTAGCGATGTGAACCGTGTGACGGTGACGAACGTTCTGCTGTACAACTGCCCGTTGGGTGGCACGGAGATTAGTGCCCTTCACAAGAGAAAAGTTTCCATTCCAGCACCGGAAGACGCGAAACCACAAGGCGACGATTCTGTTCGAGTTCAAAAAACTTCCAGTAACCATGCGAGCGGCACTTTGTCTGCACCCCAAACCGTGCCGGAGTCTGCGCCCTTGCCGACTCCTCACAAGGCCGTGGCCACGGAGCGGAGGTCCTCGGAAAGGGAGATTGAGACTAAAATAGTGGCGCAACTGGAAGACAAACACGCGGATGGATGTGGCGGTGCGAAGCGAGTGCTGCCGCCGCTGCTTCTGTTGGGCGTGTGGGCGTTTTCGGCACTGTGAGAAGTGTGCGGTCTCTGTGCGGGGCATGTGCGCCTTCTCCCGCACACACACACACACACACCGCCGGGAATAAATTCCTCTTCACGGGGGACGATTAATTATTATTTATTTATTGCGACCAGGCAGGAAATGAGCTCGCAGCGGCCCACACCGCAGCCGCGCTCTGCCGCGTTTTCCTTTTTTTTTCTTTTTTCTTTTTTTCTAATTATTCTCACTGTTTTGTTTTTTTTTTTGTGGGAGTCGTTAGTAACATCGTTTGCCGTTCGTTGTCCTCCGCGGACGGGGCGTGCTGCTGCCGTGTGTGTGTGTGTGTGGCCATTTGTACTTTATGTTCTTTTCTCTTTGCACCGTTTCTTTACTTTTTTGCGCGTGTCGTGTCCATGCATGCGTTGGGTGCATGTAGCGTGTAACGGGAGCAGTAAACATTAAAATATGTTGGCGAAGGACGATGAGGCGATGTGTGAAAACCAGCAGAACCACGGCGGAAATGTTGTCTTGATGCCATTGACCATGTCACAGCGCCACGGAGACAGTGATGCAGGTGACTGGAGAGGAGGGCCCACAAGGTGTGTCGCCGTCAGCTGGGAGCCACACGTCGGAGACCAGAGAAGTGGAGGCCTCGGAGTGTTTGCTGTTGTGTAGAGGAAACTGACGAGGCGGCGGTGGAGCGAAATATCAAAGGCGTTTGGTTGCGCCCGGGGAGGCGGTGAGATATTCACGCAGCGGCACTGGGGTGCGTGTGTCTAATGCCTTTGGGGGCTGGAAGTCGAGTAAAACGGAGGGCGTCTTCCTAACTTAATTTCACCAGCACCGTCATCGCTGCGATGCCGTTCAGTCGTTAGGAGGCAGTACTTCTTTTTGTTTTTCTAAATGTTTTCTACTAAAAAAAACCGATATAAATAATAATGTTTTTCCTG